GTTATGCGCACAGGCGGAGCCACCAGAGCGGGTGGAGCCTGTGGCTGGCTGGCCTCGGCGATCTCCTCGTTGTCCGACATGGGGTCCGTTCTAGCGGGGCTGCCTACCTGCACTAGGATCCCACCTTTGTCGCCAATTGTTAAGTCATGCGCTTAACAAAGAGTCGGAGAGTGATTTCAGCAAGAATGCGGTTTATTCTTCAGCTCAGTTACTTCTCCGTCACGGTACAACAATCGCCAGCCAGAACCCATCATCAGAACAATCAATACACTGGCTTGTCTATATTTAAACACTCCCGGCTAATGTAGCCACACCCCCTGTACAGATAACAACCTATGAGGTTGAAGAGAATACACCCAATCACAAGCGGTCCCGCTTTGTACGGTGATTGGCAGACACATTCTGGGCTAGGGCTCCTATTGGTTACATTAGGATCCTAGCCCAGAGGCGAAGCTTAACATGGTATCTTAATGGGACGGTTCACATAGCAGTTATATATACAGTCAATACATAACACCCCACCCCCTCCAGGAACGCCCCCAAAGTCCCCCGCTGGGGGTGGAAGATGGACTTGGCAACCCTAGCATAGTTCATTGTCTCTGTGAGCGAAGTTTGCGCTTGACCGCGTGGAACCCAAGCTGGTCACACGGTCTGAACTGGAGACCAGCTAATTCCTATTTTACTTTCTACAGCAAGAAATGTGGTTGCTGCTCATTGGAAAGATCCTTTGCCACCCCACATCGATACTTGGTTTAGTCATATTTGGTCTTATTTTCTTTTGGCAAAGGTTACCGTTGGCAGTACGCAACCCATACTCTGAGAAAGCTTATAATGATTTTGTGGCAGCCTTGGTTCCCACTAATGCAGTTTCTGTTTGAGCAGGATATCATTATGAACAACCCAATTTACAAAGATGTGGTCTTCTAGTATTTGCTTGGCCACCTATTTTATTTTCTTGGTTGAAGGCTGACTGTTTTGATGTTTTGGTTGGTTTCCCTGTATTTGGATGGGCTGGTACACTGGAATGGACTACTATTTTTTAAAAATAAATAGTTTGGATCAACTTGCGCTTGGTATAGAAGTCCATGTGCTGCAACGTTAAGGCTGCATTCAGATATCTCTTCAAAATGACACGAAGCCCGAATGTTCCAGGCTCACAGAAGCGTCTTTCCCTTTCCCTCTCCATTTCCCTTTCCTGCATAGACGGCAACAAAGGAAGCCGGGTTTAAAAGTAACTCCAGTTACTTACAAATGCAGGCGTGTGTCTTAACCAACATTCTTTCCCCTGACACAGTATTGCAGAATATTTTTTTAAAGCGCTGGAACAAGCTGAGCAGGGGCGTACCCAGAAATTTTTAGTTGGTGGGGCGTGGGGAAATCCGGGGGGGGGCGCCCCCCACTGCTCCTGCAGCTCATCTGGCGGTGGCGGGAGCAGCAGCTCCGGATCGTCTGCGACCTCTAGTCCTCCTCTAGTCCTTTCGATTGGAGAGACTTGATTTTGGGCTGCTTTTCTGTGCAAGCTGGGGGGGGGAATCGCTGACTCTCTCTTTTGCATCTTGCAATTTTATTTTATTTTGTTTGCATTAAAAAAAAAAACGATTTATTTTTTGGCTCGGGAAAAAATAAAATGACACTGAAGCTTCCCTGACTGTGCCTGGGGTTATTTTAAAAACCCCACACACATCTTACATTATTTGTAAAAAACAATTACCGGAGGGGGGCATTGCCCCCAGGCCCCCCCCATGGCTTTGGGCCTGGTGCTGGGCAGCCCTGCAGATAATCCATATAGGGTTGCTGTGTCTCTACTGGCCGCTGCGGTATAGGGGGTCGGGTTGCCAGATCCAGGTTGGGAAACTCCTGGAGATTTGGGGATGGAGCCTGGGGAGGACAGGGACCCTCAGTGGAGCACAATGCCATAGAGCCCACCCTCCAAACCTACCCTTTTCTCCTAACTGATCACTGTAGCCTGGGGACGAACTGTAATTCTGGGGGATCCCCAGGCCCCACCCAAAGGCTGGCATCTCTAGATCCGTAGCATGGACTGGATCGGAGCTGAGTGGCCTCGCAGCACTGCCAACCCTGCAGGGGCTACTTTTCTCAGCTGACAAAAGGGCTGATCTGCCCTTGCAACACCACAGAGCAGGATTCTAAGCGAACTGGCTCAGGGCGGCTTACACAGGGGCATAATCGCATACATAACCCAATATAAAACAGTAAAAACCATTAAATCACAACAAACAGATAAAGTGCTCCATGCAGACAAGATGGTCTCTGAGGATGGTAGCAATCATTTCCTTAGGTGAATTTGTCCTGTCGATGGTCCAAGCCAGTCCAGCAGCATCAGTGCCATGCAAATTTATGGCCGTTCTTCCGGGGACCACTCCCAACCAATGTTCCCTCTAAGCTGTGGAGTCTTCTGAGCAAAAATTCTCCTTAGTGAGCTACTGGCATTAAAAGTTGTGAGCGAGCGATTTGGCTGCTGCATAAATTAGTTTGCTCTGGAGCCCTCCTTCCTGAGCCAGGACAAAAATGTGTGAGCCGGAGGCTAAAAAACTCTGAGCTAGCTCACACTAACTCAGCCTAGAGGGAACATTGCTCCCAACCCCATTGTTTCAATGGTGGTAGTAGTAGAAGTGGCGGCCCCTATATAAAAGCCTGGCGGAAGAGCTCCGTCTTGCAGGCCCTGTGGAACTGCATAAGGTCCCGCAGGGCCTGCAAGACGGAAGAACTTCTTCACCCAAGGGTGATTAACACATGGAATTCACTGCCACAGGAAGTGGTGGCGGCTACAAGCATGGACGGCTTCAAAAGGGAATTAGATAAGTGTATGGAGCAGAAGTCCATCAGTGGCTTTTAGCCACAAGGTATAGATAGGGGCTCTGGAGCTTCTAACGTCCTGGCCCCACTGGTGGACCTCCTGATGGCTCTGGTATTTCTGGCCACTGTGTGACACAGAGTGTTGGACTGGATGGGCCTTTGGCCTGATCCCACATTGGTGTCTCTTATGTTCTTATGGTGCACTTTGAGCGTAATACATAACACCGATCCATCTTGTGTGGAGTCTTCCTAGGGTTGCTGGCGGGGGACTTTTGGGAGTGTTACTGGAGGGGGAGGGGACGCCCCCAGCATGATGACATCATGCAGACGTGACCTCATCAGGTTGGGGGCCAGCGCCCCCCCTGCTTCTTGCCAAAAGCATTTAAAGAGTCCCTTTAAATGCTTTTGGGAAGAGGTGGGGACCAGTGTTCCCTCTAAGCTGAGTTAGTGTGAGCTAGCTCACAGAATGTTAGCCTCCATCTCACAGATTTTTGTCTTAGCTTATATGCAATAGCCAAATCATTCGCTCACAACTTTAATGCCAGCAGCTCACAAAGTAGAAATTATGCTCACAAGACTCCACAGCTTAGAGGGAACATTGGTGGGGACCCCCCCTCGCACCGGCACTCCGAGCTGCGAATTTGTGACTCGGAGTGCAGGCGCACGGCCCCCGCTTCTTCCCAACACCATTTAAAGGGTCCCTTTAAATGCTGTTGGGAAGAAAGGGGGTGGGGAGGCCGTGCACGCCTACACTCCAAGCCACGAATTCGCCACATGCTCCCGCCGGTCAGCAGGGGGCCCCTTTAAATCTTGCAGTATGGATGGCCGGGTGGTCGCTCTTGGGGGCAGGGTGTCTCCCCCATGGGCCGACTGGCTGGCAGCAGGAAGGAGCCCCCGAAATCTGAGGAACCCCCACTCGGACCGGGAGTCTGGCCACCCTTGTTCCTCCTCTTTTCCTGCTGCCTTCAGCTTTGCCAGGCATTATTGTCTTTTCCAGCTATCCATAGTAAAGGTAAAGGTTCCCTTGCTCGAAAGCCCATCGAATCCGACTCTAGGGTTGCGGTGCTCATCTCCGTTTCAAAGCCGAAGAGCCAGCGCTGTCCGAAGACGTTTCCGTGGTCATGTGGCCGGCATGACTAAACACCAAGGCGCACGGAACGCTGTTACCTTCCCACCGAAGTGGTCCCTATTTATCTACTTGCAATTTCTTGCTTTCGAACTGCTAGGTTGGCAGGAGCTGGAACTAGAGACGGGAGCTCACTCCGTCATCCGGCACACTCGGGTCTCGAACTGCTGAACTACCGACCTTCCACAGCCCGCAGTTCAGCGTCTTGACCACTTGAGCCACCGCAGCTCCACCCAGCTATCCATAGCCCAGCTTTAAATAAGCTATGATTTGATCCATCAGGGCTCTTCTTATGTTCTTAAACCTTTAAGATAGAATGTAAAAAAGATTCCTATACATATAAAGCTAGAATAGACGGGGGGGGGGGGGTGGGAGGCTCGGGTAGATCATTCCAGACTAGCTAGTTTTCTATGTCTAAGGATTTTTCCGTCTTGGAGGACCATTCGGTCTTATGAACCTCCTCTCCTGGCGATCGGAAGTGGTACAGGCCAGGCAGGGGCTGATCTCACTGCTGAGAAGGGGTTTTGGTATCTCACCACCAGACTGGGCTGCTTCGTCTCTTATGATGCTGCTCTGCCTTTCTTTTCCAGAACTCTGAAAACATTTTTCTGAACATGAACACGAACAACGGAGAAACCAACACAACCGCACTTCCTTCCTTTGCCAGTGGCGAGGAGCTCTTGAAGTGGGCCAAATTAAAGTACGGGGGTGTTTCCTCCTTTGCCAGCGTAGGGAGCCCTCAACGGATCCACTTTCAAGTAGGCAAAGGTGAGTCCCATTAAGATCTTGATTAAAGCGCAACGGGATCCCTTCCTTATACAGCCAGGAGGTAGTGTGCGATCAATGTGTTCTTTAAAATTTATTTCTACTGTACCTTTTAAGTGCTTTTGTTGCATTTATTGCATGGGCTATTATCTTTCACGTGCTATTCTGAGCCATTTCTCATCAGAAAGGTGGCCCAAGAATGGATGGGTTATATATTTAATCAATTTATTTCTTGGCAAACGTTTTGGAAAATGTTAGATCGTGCTAACAAAGGATCGGAGAATGATTTCAGCTCAGTGATTCAGCTTTATTTGAAGTAGCGAACAAACACTCAAACGCATTCAAAACCAGAACAGATTAACACTGGGAGCTTGGCTCCTTTTAAACATTCCCGGGCTAACATAGCCACACCTATTTACAAGTAACAACCAATAAGATTGTCAGGATAAAGACCAATCGAAACTCTTCCCGCTTAGGGACTTGCTTAACAGCGATTGGCCGCTTGTTCAGAATGGCCAATAGGGTGCGAGAGTCGATGGAGCCCTGTCTGGCTCGAAGCTTAACACTGTAAGTGAATTAGGCGATTCATGTAATGCTCCCATTACAGAAAAATTGCTGGAGGCAACGTACAGCAATTCAAAACAAAAGCCAGTAGATTTAAAATTAAAGAAAAACAGCAACAGTGGACGCCATAATAACAATACAAAAGAGCTGACACACAAGACCAGTATAAAAGTATAAAAAGCGGATCAATCACTAGCAGTTCACCAATCAAACCTGTAATAAAGACACCTGTGGTAGCAGCCTGGTGCTAAACCATAAAGCAGCATCGAACTCTGTAATGAATGGAGCAAGTTCAATAAGACAACTACAAATAAAAACAAAAGGGCAGGTAAAGTCTGAAAATACAAGTCAATACAGAAGATGGGTAGAATGAAAACTCAACTTCCCTGGGGCTGCTCATTTGCCTTCTCCTTTTGTGTCGACGAACAAGTTTTTTTTGGAAATAGTGGTCCACAAATCCGTGGCTGAGCTTTGCTAGTCAACCGGAATGTGTGGTCACCACTGCTCTTGGGATAATTCCTCTTGCCAGGGCTTTTTTTGTAGAAAAAGCCCAGCAGGAACTCATTAGCATAATAGGCCACACCCCTGACAGCACAGCTCATTAGCATATTAGGCCATAGCCCCGTGTTGCCAGAAGTGTGGTCATCCAGCCACACCCACCTTTTGCTTCTTATTCTGTTTACCTTGTCTGTTGTCCAAACCCAGGGCCTTTTTTGTAGCAGGAACTCCTTTGCATGTTAGGCCGCACACCCCTAATGTAGCCAATCCTAATGAGTTTCTGCTATTGGGTGTGGCCTATTATGCTAATGAACTCCTGCTGGGCGTGCCCAACTCGGGAGCCAGCTGGAACTTTGTTCCTGTGCGTTCCTGCCCAAAAATAGCCCTGCCTCTTGCTGCTTTTTGCAACTTTTTGCAACTTTGCAAATTAATATCAGATGTTCTCATGCTACCTTGAAAGGTACATGATTGCTGAAAGCGAGCACACTTGAGTCTTGTCAGAACCCCCCGGATGGCCGTCAGGGAACTGTGGTGATCCCATCATGACTTCCACAATGAAAGAGTGGCAGGATGGAAACGAAATGAAATCAATAGATTTTTAAATCACTTCTTTCCTCCAAGGAGCTCAGGATGGCATACACGGTCCCCCCCTTTTATCATCACATCAGTCATTGAGGTAGGGTTAGCCTGCAAAAAGTTAACTCGTCCCAGTAAGCTTTCTGTCAGAGCTGGGACTGGAGCTCAGTTCTTCCTGGTCCTAGTCTGAGACTCTGTGGGCCAAACAACACTCTGACTTGCAGTCACACATAAGATCAGGAAACTGGTGTTCCCAAGTGCTCTGGGGCCCAGTTTGGCTTTTGCTTTTCCTCCTGCACCATTTTCCTGAGCTGAAATGGCCAGGGCTATTTTTGGGCAGGAACGCACAGGAACGGAGTTCCAGCTGGCTTCGGAGTTGGCCACGCCCACTACAGCCAAAACCTCTGTGTGTGTTACAGAGGGAAGGCCTGGAGAGCGACCCCACCCCCCCGTGACTCCAAGGTGGGCGGGCCGGGGGACCCCTGGAAGAATCAGGGAGGCATTTAAATGCCTCCCCATGCATCCCCCAGCCTGTCCAAGGGCCGGCTTCCCCAGGCAAGTCAAGGGAAGGCATGGGGTGTGGCCTAATATGCTAATGAGCTGTGCTGTCAGGGTGTGGCCTGATATGCTAATAGGTTTCCGCTGTTGGGTGTGGCCTATTATGCTAATGCGCTGTGCTGTCGGGGTGTGGCCTAATATGCTAATAGGTTTCTGCTGTTGGGTGTGGCCTATTATGCTGATGAGTTCCTGCTGGGGGTTTTCTACCAAAAAAAAGCCCTGGAAATGGCCATGGGGGAGCCTATTTGCCCTGCTGTGGGGCGCCACATGCTGTGGTCAGTAGCACACATGGAACCTCACAATGGGGCAAACAGCCCCCCCCCCCAGTGGTTGTCTCAGCTCGGGAAGAACAGTGCTAGGGGGAAGGCTGAATCCCTTCACCCCCAGTGCCACGCTCCCGAACTGAATCAGTTCCTGGAGCACTTGGGAATGTTAGTTCCCAGATCATACATGTGACTGCTGCAAGTCAGATTGGCGGAGTCCCAACCCCAAGTCATTTGCATACATCGTGTATTGTGGCCCTAAGCACTGCCCCATCTCAGATCTAAGCAGATAACTTATTTTGGAGTCAGTTTTTGGATCTTACTGATTCATCTTCCCCTCCCCTAAATCTGAGATGAGGCCACTGTCTTCCTGAAGACTTGGCAAGTGGGGAGGTTTCCATTTGCACATCTGTTCCTGAGCATCATTCACTATATCCTGCTTAGCACAGCCTGATCTAATCAAAAACGGAGCCCTCCTGCCTGAGCGTCTGGAAAAGGCTGATTGTCTTTCTGTTTTCTCCAGAGATCGGAACTTCCGAGGACTGCATCCCAGAGACGGATTTCGATGCCGGGCAGTACCTGGAGATGGATGTCATCTCCTCGGAGGTCAAAAGCTGTCCTCACCCCAGCAAAAACCCCAGGAAAGAAGCGCATATCGTCTGGCTCCAGCAGGGCCACCAGGACTCCGGGTAAATTGCGGGTTATGCATGTGTAGAGTACAGTCAAGTTGCAGTTGGCAGCCTTGTAGGATTTTCAAGGCGAGACCAACAGTGGCAGTTTCAGGTGGGGTAGCCATGTTGGTCTGAAGTAGAAGAATGAAGTTTGAGTCCAGTTGGTTTGTCATTGCCATTGGGGTATAAAACCACCTCCTTCTCCTCCTTCTTCCCAGTTTGTCTATTGAAAGTGCCGGGGTGTAATTTCATAGAAAAAGAGGTGCAGGAGCTCATTAGCGTAACTCCTTAGCATAACTTATTTGCATATGCCACACCCCCTGACGTTACCAGACGTGTGTCAGACGGCAACACCCACTGCTCAGGCCCCACTGGACTGTTTTGGATTGCTAGCTATTGGGGGGGGGACGTGCAGATCTCGCAGAGGAGGGAGAGCTTGTATCTGAATAAAACTTGGTCTTAAAGGTGCCACTGGACTGTTTTGGACTGGAGGGGCTGGGGGGGAGCTCTGCAACTTACCTGGCTGCTTCTTGCTCTGACTGAGGGCTGCTGGGAGCAGGGGGTGGGGCTTGTTGCAAGTGCCCGCTGCCTGGGCTCTTAACTGCCGGAGCGCCGCTCCTGTGCGCTCCTGCAGGAAATGACCCCTGAAAGTGCCCAAGATGGAACAAATCACCTAACGTGCCTCATGAGGGTTGTTGTAAACTTCTTTGGCTCCTCATTGGGGAGAAAGGCAGGATATACATGAAGGAAACAATCAGAAATAATAAATCTCTATGAATAATTCCTTCCTCTGCATCCAAGAAATACGCATCATAGCCTGCTTTCAGAGGAAGCTGGTTTAATAATGTTGTATATTTCTTTTGAACTATGGTGCTGGAGAAGACTCTTGAGAGTCCCTTGGACTGCAAAAAGATCAAATCAGTCAATCCTAAAAGAAATCAACCCTGACTGTTCCCTGGAAGGCCAGATAATGAAACTGAAGCTCAAATACTTTGGCCACCAAATGAGAAGGGAGCACTCCCTGGAGAAGACCCTGATGCTGGGAAAGATTGAAGGTCAAAGAAGACGGGGACGGCAAAGGATGAGATGGTTAGACAGTGTCATCGATGCAACGAACATGAAATTGAGCCAACTTCAGAGGACGGCGGAAGACAGGAGGGCCTGGCGGGAGATGATCCATGGGGTCGCGAAGAGTCGGACTCGACTGTGCGACTGAACAACAACAAATATTTAAATCACATTGGCAAATCCTACTTAAAAAAAAAAGTAGGCCAGATAAGACTATAGTCAGTGAATCTCTCGTCGTGCAGTGCCTAGCGCAATGCCAACGATAAACAGAGGTGAAATAGTACTTCGGATAGTGTGGTGGATGCTCTTAGTTTGCGCAAGCGGCACATGGGCTGCTAAAATTTATTTATTTTATTTTATTATTCACATTTCTATCCCGCCCTCCCCGGAGGCTCAGGGTGGCTTACAGGGCACATTGCCAGATAAAACAGTAAAAGCAATACAAAATATTAAATTACAATCCCATTAAAACAGATTTTGATACTTCTCTCAGCTACTTTACAATTTCTAAAAGCAAGATGGCCGCATCCTAACCATCCCGTTCTCACCCATAGTGCAGCGATTAAAGGGCCCAGATGTACTCGCCCCCATCCTGATGTCCGTATATGGGGGTTAGGTGGTAACTAGTGCGATAGTAGTGCACTAGTGGTGCACTAGTGGTGGCGGCTCCTATTCAAAAGCCTGGCGGAAGAGCTCCGTCTTGCAGGCCCTGCGGAACTGTGCTAGGTCCCGCAGAGCCCTGATCTCCTCTGGGAGCTCGTTCCACCAGGTAGGAGCCGCCACCGAGAATGCCCTATTCCTGGTCATGGTTTAAACTGCCGGCCTAATCATGCCCTTTTGCCACTCACCCTGGGCTTTGTGTCTTTCAGCACGCAGGCGGTGGAGCTGAACATGAATGTGACTTGTGACAAAGGAGACCCTTTTAAGGAGCTCAGCGTGGTGCTGGTGCTTAAAAGCCAGCACAGTCTGCTGTGGAACATCGGCTCGACGACCCATTCGACCCAGTTCTTGGTAAGGCCAGATCAGAACCACCACTGATCTCTCGCTGCTGAAGTTGCACGCGTATAGTTAAGGTCAGGGGTCATTTCGTAGAAAAGGGGGTGCCGGAGCTCATTAGCACAACTCATTAGCATAACTTATTTGCATATGCCACACCCCCTGACATCACCGGAAGTGTGTCAGAAGGCAACACCCACCGCTCAGGCTCCACTGGACTCTTTTGGATTGCTAGCTATGGGCTGCTGGGAGCAGGGGATGGGGCTTGTTGCCTGTGCCCGCCCCTTGGGCTCTTTACTGCCGGAGCTCCGCTCCTGTGTGCTCCCGCAGGAAATGACCCCTGGTTAAGGTGGTCAGCTCTGGGCTGGAGATGTGGGGGGGGAGCCGGGGGGGGCTGGGGAGGGGAGAGACCTCAGCAGGGTCTAATGCCAGAGAGCCCCACCCTCCAAAGCATCCATTTCCTCCAAGGGAACTGATCTTGATCATCTGGAGATCAATGGTAATAGCCGGAGATCTCCAGGTGCCATCTGGATGTTGGGAACCCTACTTATAGTGTGGGGAAGGGAAGCAGGAGGAGAGAAGGCTCTGGAGGACCACTCCCCTCGCAGCAGAGCCAGTATCGGGGCTGCCTTTCTGAACTCCAGTCTGATTCACTGCATTGGCTTATGTTTGTGATTGCAAATGCATCCCAGGTATGGGTTTTGTACGTTCACCCACAGGTCCTGTTTAGACATAACACCAAACAGTGGTCTGCTTTAACTGCGGTTAGTCATCGAGAAATGAAACCGATGCTTCTTGAGGCAAACCAGGGTTTAAGTAATTGTCTGCAAGCTGACTACTGGTTTTAGAGTCAGCTCACTGATAATTACTTAAACGTTGTTGTAGATTTTCACTCCAGCTGTGAAAGCCTTCGACAATATAAAGGTAAGGGTAAAGGTTTCCCTTGCTCGAAAGCCAGTCGAATCCAACTCTAGGGTTGCGGTGCTCATCTCCGTTTCAAAGCCGAAGAGCCAGCGCTGTCCGAAGACGTTTCCGTGGTCATGTGGCCGGCATGACTAAACACCAAGGTGCACGGAACGCTCTTACCTTCCCACCGAAGTGGTCCCTATTTATCTACTTGCAATTTCTTGCTTTCGAACTGCTAGGTTGGGAGGAGCTGGAACTAGAGATGGGAGCTCACTCCATCATGCGGCACCCGGGTCTCGAACTGCTGAACTACTGACCTTCCACAGCCTGCAGTTCAGGGTCTTAACCACTTGAGCCACCGCAGCTCATATACAATATACAATATACATGAGAACATATTTTCACAGAACAAAGTTTGAGTCCAGAATAAATACTCAGAATACCAAGAATAAAACTTTGTTGGTCTTAAAGGTGCCACTGGACTCAAACTATATTCTGTTGCTTCAGACCCACACGGCTACTCCCCTGAAAATATTTTTACAAAGATACTGAAAGTCTCCACTGGCTTCTCCGAAGGGAGCCACAGTTAAACTCTCCCCGTTGTCCTTCTTTCCCCCTGACTGACTGAGTCTCTGTGCTGCATAAATAGTAGAAATCCAGCAGGTACATTGTTCCCCAGGATGGAGATTCCGGGCCAGAATGATGGAACTTCTGCCTGTCCCAGAGCTGCAGGAAGTCGCGTGCCTTCTGCCAGGAAGCAAGAGGGCTGCCTTGGTGAGACCCTGTAGATGGCAAAGTCCACCACTTCAAAACATCTTTTTCTTCCCTCTGGCAGGTGTCTGGCAAGTACAGCTTAAAGCACATGAGCTCCGGGAAGATTGACGGCGAAGCCCTCCCAGACAGCAAAGAAGGTCTGATCAGAAAGGTCCATGACAGAGGCGTCGATTTCATTGCTTCCTACACAGAGATACCGTCTGCCAACCGCATCACCCTAGAAGTAGTCCGATGTGGTGAGTCTCTAATGGCTGCCATCTCTGCGCTGGTAAATTTCTGGAGATTTGGAGGCAGAACCTGGGGAGGGCAGAACTTGGCGAGGGGAAGGAGTTCGGCAGGGCAAAGATGAGGCTGTTACCCTGTTCCGTAGCTTGTTATTTAACGGCTGCCTTCAAGAATTGCCCAAAGGTATCGTTAATTCACGCCTAAACGCTTATTTGGATACAGGCGCTCTTTTTGCCCTGGAACTAGACGCAATGCCGTAGAGTCCCGCCTCTGAAGCGGCCATGTTCCCCAGGGGAACTTGACCTCTGTGACCTGGAGATCAATGGTAATTCCAGGAGAACTCCAGGCCCCACCTGGAGAACTCCAGGCCCCACCTGGAGGTTGGCAACATCATGAGTCTGGTTCAGATTCCAGTGGAGGGGGGAATTTCTGGCTTGCATCAGATGCTGGAGGCAGTTGGCTGAATTAGGGCCAGGTGCGTAAAGCATCAGAAGGACCAAAACTGGGGATTCCTGGGAGAGGGGTACTCATACTGAATGAGGGCTTTAGAGTGTCCAAAAGCATTCCATGTACACAGGGGTCATTTCGTAGGAAAAGAGGTGCAGGGGCTCATTAGCATAACTCATTAGCATAACCTGTTTGCATATGCCACACCCCCTGACATCACCGGAAGTGTGTCAGAAGGCAACACCCACCGCTCAGGCTCCACTGGACTGTTTTGGATTGCCAGCTATTTGGGGGGGGGGAACGTGTAGATCTGTCCTCACAGAGGAGGGAGAGCTCGTACCAGAATAAAACTTGGTCTTAAAGGTGCCACTGGACTGTTTTGGACCAGGGGGTCAGGCTCTGCAGCTTACCTGGCTGTTTCTTGCTCTGACTGAGGGCTGCTGGGAGCAGGGGGTGGGGCTTGTTGCATGTGCCCACCTCCTAGGCTCTTTACTGCCGGAGCGCCGCTCTTGTGCGCTCCTGCAGGAAATGGCCCCTGATTACTACTGGGAATACTTTGTCCATACGGGCTTTTCTTGGCAGGGTGATGTCTCTTTATTTTATAGTAGCATTACCTGAGCTAAATAAATGGGCCCCTCCAGACGAGAACATCTGCCTCCCGTGGCGTAGGCGTCGGCAACCCGTGCTGTTCCGCAGTGGAAGCGGAATAAACAGATGCCGGGGAAAGTCTGGTATTAATGGGTTCTTTGGGGTTCCGTCCGGGTTTTCCAGTGTCTGAACCAATGTTCCCTCTAAGCTGTGGAGTCTCGTGAGCAAAAATTCTACTTTGTGAGCTACTGCCATTAAAGTTGTGAGCGAGCCATTTGGCTCCTGCATCAATTGGTTTGCTCTGGAGCCCCATCCTTCCTGAGCTGAGACAAAAAAGTGTGAGCTGGAGGATAAAAAACTGTGAGCTAGCTCACTCTAACTCAGCTTAGAGGGAACACTGGTCCGAACTCTCCTGCAGCGAAAGGAACCCAGAAGGGCTGTCAGAACCTTCAGAACCGTTCTGCCGCTGGGGTGGGTTTTAAAAACTTTTTGCCTATACGTGCATGAGTGCACACACAGACATGTGCATATGTGTGCGCATGCACACAGGCACATGTGTGCACACAAGCACATATGCGTGCACATGGTCACACACAGGGGTCGTTTCGTAGAAAAAGAGCTAGGGGAACTCATTAGCATAACTCATTAGCATATGAAACACACCCTGCCATCACCGGAAGTGTGTTCATTAGCATGTGCCACACAGCCTGACATCACCGGAAGTGTGTCATAAGGCCACACCTACCACTCAGTTAGTCTTAGTCTTAAAGGTTAGTCTTAAAGGTGCTATTTGTTAGTCTTAAAGGTGCTATTTGAACTCTTGGACTATTTTGCAGCAACAGACTAACACAGCTACCTCGGGGAAGCTCCTGGATGGGGCTGGGAGTCCTTGCGGAGGCCACGTGGAGTGGCCTCGGCCAGGCAGAGGGGGAGGACGCCAACTTACCCTCCTGCTTCTTCCTCCTTCTGCAACAGAATGAGGCTGGAAGAAGGGGGCGGCTGGAAGAAGGGGCGGGCTTCGTCGTGTGCCCCGCCCCCCTGCACCTTACCCGGGGGAACTGCGATCCCCCACGATTCCCCCCGAATCGACCTCTGGTCACACATGCATCTACCTGCATTTTAAAAAATGACTGGGCAGTGTGCTCTGTGGCTGCAGCGCTGCAGTAACGTGGATGCTTGACCACGGGACGGCCGCATGGGTAACCCGCAGCAGGGTGCGCTGTCTGGATTATATGCCCCGCAGTGCTGTAAACCGGTCCTATTAGAGGCGCTACCATACCGCACCAAGCTGCCAGTGTGACCACAGCCCAAGTAAACGTCAGTTCAGGGCTTGGTGGTGGAGGAAAGTGCCCTCAAGATGCAGCTGACGTATGGCAACCAATGTTCCCTCTAAGCTTTGGAGTCTTGTGAGCAAAAATTCTACTTTGTGAGCTCCTGGCATTAAAGCTGTGAGCGAGCGATTTGGCTGCTGTACAAATTAGTTTGCTCTGGAGCCATCCTTCCTGAGCTAAGACAAAAATGTGTGAGCCAGAGGCTAAAAAACTGTGAGCTAGCTCACACTAACTCAGCTTAGAGGGAACACTGATGGCAACCCTGTGGGATTTTCAGGGCAAGAGATGTTCAGAGGTGGCTTGCCACATGGCGCCCCAGGTCTTCGTCAGTGGTCTCCCATCCAAGTACTAACCAGGGCTGGCTCTGCTTAGCTTCTGAGATCTGATGAGCCGGGCCAGCCTGGGCCATCCAGGTCAGGGGCTGTTAAAGAGAGTAGGAGCCAGATCTTTGGCGAGAGGGGAACGCTTCAGCAGAGGGTTGGAAGCTGTGGCGGCAGCTGAGGAGAAACAGGGCTTACGCGGCGTTCGGTAAACTTGGCTTGTTCCACACCTCGGTCTCCTAAAAGTCCCTAGAAGCAAATCCCACGCCGAGGGCCTTCCCCATCCAGGGCCGGCCCGAGGTTGTCCTGCGCTCTAGGCGAGCGCAGATGCCAACCTCCCGGCGGGGCCTGGAAACGCGCTCTACTCGTCCTCGGCCCTCCCCCCCCGCCGCAGCCGGGCAGGAGAGGCTGAGAAAGAAGGCGGGGGGGAGGAGGAAAGCGGGCGGTGTGTGTCTGGGTCTGCGCATCCCCAGCCTTCCTCCCCCCCCGCCGCCGGAGAAGGGGCCACTGCTGTCTGCCGGCCAGCTGGCCTCCAGTGGCAGACAGGAGAGGCCGAGAAAGAAGGCAGCAGCTGGCGGGCGGGCGGGCAAGCGGGCAGGGAGGAGGAAACCATCGCGCCGGAGAAGGGGTCACTCCTGCCCGCCCACTGGTGGACAGGAGAGGCCGAGAAAGGCGGCGACGGTGGCGGGAGGAGGAAAGCGCTGCGCCCTGCCTGGAGAAGGGGCCCCTCCCGCCCTTGGCTGGGATGCGAACGGACCGCCCTGCTAGACGCCCGGCCTACGCACAGGGGGCTGCTGTGGGTGAAGACACGCAAGGTGCAGGAGAGGCGGAGAGAAGGAAGCGGCGTCTGGCTTCCCGGGTGGGAGGCCCCGATCCAGTTCCAACCCCCCACCCTTCCTCCCGATTCCCGGGCGGACTGCAGGAGAGCCGGGCGGGCAAGCAAGGCCTCCCTCCCGTGGGCGCAAAATGAGGGTGGGCAAAACGCGTGCCCACGACCGAGCAACCCCAGGGCGCTCACACAAAGAGCGGGCGGCAGGCACTCGGCAGCTGCATGGCCAGGCGGCCGTCCCTCCCCCTCATCCCCGTCCGAGCAGGGTGGAAGCCGAGCCAGCGCTCCAGCCGCCCGCACCACTCACCGGCCTCTGCTGGCGCACCCGGGGGAACCCTCGCACGCCGCTGCTTCTGGAGGAAACTTCCCGGCCCATTGCAAGCTTCTCTGGCCGCGCCTCCCCCGGCACGGAATGCCCCTCCTCGGCCCCTCCTGCCGCGGGGGGCGGGGCAGGGCGGAAGGAGGAGTGACCGCCAGGCAAAGCCAGTGGGTGATCAAGTGGTACGGAGCGGGGGGAGGGAGACCCTGCAGCCATGTGGCAGAGCTCCTCCCAGCCCCGTTCCTTGACGGCGCCCCTGCCTCTCTTCCCGCGCCCTAACAGCCCGCTGGCGCTCTAGGCGAAGGCCTAGTTCGCCTAGCGGGCGAGCCGGCCCTGTCCCCATCTCAACCTGCCTTGTGATGCTCCATTTTAGCAGAAGAGTCGAGGGAGGCGGCTACCACGCCACAGGCCAGAAGTCACCCGCACAGCCCGACCAGAGAGATCGAAGGCCTGATAAACCTCGTGGTGCCGTGGAGGTGCCTGGAGAACACCATCGAAGTGGCCCTGGCCAAGCAATACTTGTCTGTAAGCAGATCAGCGTGTGTAGAATTGGGGTACAAGCAGACATAGCCCAGAAGAGATACATGGTTAGGATCTCCTGTTGTTGTTGTTTTTTTAAAAAAACACTACGATTTACTGACTTCATTGATACACCATTTCCCTCCCCAATGGAGACACAAAATGGCTCCCGTCATCTCCTCTCCTCAATTTTATCCTCACAGCAGCCACCCTGTGAGGTAGCTGAGGCCGAGGGTGTGAGACCGGCCCAACGTCATCCAGCAAGCTTCCATGGCAGAGTGGGGATTTCAACTACGGGGGCCAGCTCCAAACTGAGAAATACCTGGAGATTTAGGGGGTGGAGCCTGAAGAGGGACGGGTTTGGGGAGGGGAGAGACTTCGACAGTGTCTAATGCCATAGAGTCCGCCTTTCAAAGCGGCCATTTTCCCCCGGGGAACTGATCTCTGTCACCTGAGGATCAGTTACATCCCAGGAGATCTCCAGCTACTGCCTGGAAGTTAAAAACAAGAGGGGTCACAGGTATCCAATAGGAAAAACACATAAGCAATCCTGTGATGTAAACATTATCAGAAGATTTATATTACTTTCAAGACTTATAAAATTACAAAAAGTTTTATCAATTGCACAGTATTGTGAACAACCGGTCCAATATAGTTCAACATAATGAGTATCCGGTATAGACTCATTTCAACTTTACAATCTTCCTCTAGATGTAATTCAATATTAAATCCAGTTTAATATTGTAATTTTCTTCATAGTATCCTGGAAAAACCAAGGTAAATGCAAATTCATATGTAGCTGCATGGAAATTAATTATTTCAAACCATAATACCTTAATAATTAGTTTTGGAATTTATTAAACTGGATAAAGATGCTGACCTCACCCTTCAGTATAGAATTACATCTGAGGAAGACTGTAAAGTTGAAATGAGTCTATACCGGATACTCATTATGTTGAACTATATTGGACCTGTTGTTCACAATATTGTGCAATTGATAAAACTTTTTGTAATTTTATAAGTCTTGAAAGTAATATGAATCTTCTGATAATGTTTACATAACAGGATTGCTTATGTGTTTTTCCTACTGCCTGGAAGTTGGCAACCCTAATTCAAACCAGTACTCCAAGGAGGTTGGGGCAGTGTGCCTTGGGGTGTGTGTGTCCCCCTCACCATTTGTTCTTACAGCCACCTTGTAGGGTTGCCAGGTCTAGGTTGGAAAACACCTGGAGACTTTGGGGGTGGATCCAGGAGAGGGCGGGGTTTGGGGAGGGGAGGAGCCTCAGCATGGTACCATGCCATAGAGTCTATCCTTCAAAACACCCATTTTCTCCAGTGGAGCTGATCTCTGTCAGCTGGAGATCAGTTGCAAAAGCGGGAGATCCCCAGGCCCCACCTGGAGACTGAAGCAACTTGAGCTGCAGTCTTAGGAGAGTCTAGTAACAAATAAATATACACTGCAAAAACCTTATTAGCAAACCAATGTGTTCTATTTATGGTCATCATTTAATAAAGTGCATAGTGTATCATTATTTCATCCTAGTCAAGTATAAACATTACATTCAATAAGCAATAACATTCAGTACATACAAATTGCTAACTACCAGACAATTTTGCATCAGTGTTTTAAAAGTCAAGCCCCAACGGGAATTTCTAGAATTATAAACCCACTTCTCCTTGCATGAAGTCTTCCAAAAAGGAGGACAGCCTTATTAATAGTTGTATGGATGCTTTTTGCCGGTCCCACAAAAGACACATTGTGCAGCTAACATTCATGGACGGAGTACTCCTGTCATTCTCAAAGCTGCTTGATTGGCCTGTGGAAATTTGAACCCCGATCTTGACAGTTTTTATGACCCCACCCTCTTGGGCTAGGCCCTTATAGAAACACCAAATTGGAGGCTGGAATGACTTACCATTTTCAGCATTAGCAGTCCAATATAAATAGGTCCAGTGAGAGAGAGACACTGTGGTGATATTGGTGGAGGGGAGATGTCAGCCCAGATAAGATTTTAATATGATGTTGGTTTTTCTTTTAGGTTTTAAAGGATCCCATCACAATTATGACTCTCTCGGACTCCCGCTGTGTGGCACAAGATAACATGACGCATTTTGTTCTGAGAAGTGGCTTGGAAGATTGTTTCACTCGGGTGGAAAGCGGAATCCATGTCAAGAACAAGGTCAGCACTGCCGCTTGTGTGCTTCAAACAGTCCTCGGCGTGACTCATCCCCTTTTGTGTAGGTCTTGGGCTCCGGCTATATCTTGCCACCCAGACTGGCTCCAGGTTTCGGAGATCCCTGAGCCGGTCATTTCCCGTGGCCCTCCATAAAGCGGATCACCCGTGCCTCGTCTGTTTTTCCACTCCTCGGGCAGACGAAACAGACGCCTGTGGCAGTTGCTTCTTGGTCATGTAACATCATTATGTACAAAGACAAATATGGTCACCGTCTGTAGACATGAAAAGATAGAGCCACGGGAACTGTGTAAAGTGCGCTCAACAGAGGTCATTTCGGGGGGGAACGCGGGGGAACGCAGATCCCCCGGGCAAGGTATGGGGGGCGGGGCACATGACAAATCCCTGCCCCCTGCTTCCGGCCGCCCCGCTTCCGGCCCTCATTCAGCCAGGAGGAGGCAGGAGAAGAGGGAGTGTAAGTTGCTTCCTCCCTGCCTCTCCCCACCCCTGCCTGCCTGGGGCCAGGGAGGGCCTTCGCGGGGCTTCCTTGCACTCCCGCCGGCCTTGCAGGTCCACCGCCGGGCCCCTCATGGGGCACGGCAGTGGAGCTGCAATGCGGGCGGTGGTGGCCGGGACCGTTGGGGGCGGGGTGTGTGGCCTTATGACACATTTCCGGTGATGTCAGGGGGTGTGGCCTTATGAAACACTTCCGGTGATGTCAGGGTGTGTGGCATATGCTAACGAGTTATGCTAATGAGTTCCCCTAGCTCTTTTTCTACGAAATGACCCCTGGCGCTCAATGTTTCTTTAACGATAGCAATAATGTTATAAATACGAAAATTACAAAAGTGATACTAATGCATTCAAATTGTAAATCCAGTTACATAAGATAGAAGATAACAACGACGGCGGGACGGTGGTCTCCGGAATGTGATGCCGTTTCGACAAGCGTCTTCTTCTGACGAAGAATCTATAAGCTTATACATGATATAATACATATGAACATTAGTACTTACATCTTAGGTCATTGTACAACAAAATTTAAAATAAACTTGGTACAAAACCTTACTAGACGATGTGTGGAAAACTGCACTTCAACAGAAAAGCTTGGAGTTCAATAACAGTTTCTAGAAAAAACATAGCAAAGCAGTGAAACCAGACAGGCTAACTATGCGTAATTATATAAAGCCAAAGCTTATACAAAAACAAAAATGTTCAAACCTACTTACCAAGTATTAGTATCACTTTTGTAATTTTCATATTTATAACATTACTAGAAATAATGCCCGTTGCGGAAATAAATACAACGGGATCTAGAAAGAGGCTCTGGGAGAGTGCTCTGGCTTTGGGCAAACAGTGTCAGTTTCCTGTGGCGACCTCAGCAGGGTTTAATGACAGAGTCCACTGTTTTCTCCAGAGGGACTGATCTCTGCTACCTGAAGAGCATTTGTATGTTTGAGTTATCTGTAGCCCTCACCTGGAGAGTGGTAACCATTGTTACCCATTCTCCTCTCCCCTATGAGGTATGTTATGCAACTGAAAATCCCAACTGCCTTGCGGGGGGGGGGAGTTTGAGGTGTGGAATGGACTGAAGTCCAATCAGCTTCCATATGCAAAAGACCAGGTTGTCGCAGCAGTTGTGGTGTGGGCGGGACCCGGGCTTTGCCTTCTGATTGGTGGCGATATATGCTGAGGAGCAGTGCCATCAGCCATACACTAAGGGAGTGCATTTTAGAATTAGAACCTTGGCACCCACTATTCAATTATATATAAGGAGAGATTACTTTTTTTAAAAAAGAAGTGTCCTCTGTGACTCAGATTCTTGCACCAATGTGTGAGAAAGGCAGATTATAAAGGCAGTCCTAAAACACGGCTGCGGTGGCTCAATGGTTAAGACGCTGAACTGCAGACCGGAAGGTCGGTAGTTCAGCAGCTTGAGAGTGCCACATCTTTGGCCCCAGCTCCTGCCAACCTAGCAGTTCCTTTAATGCCAGTGGCTCACAATGTGGAATTTTTGCTCACAAGACTCCACAGTTTAGAGGGAACATTGATGGCAGCAATCCTGCACAGGGGAGTTACCAACTTTGGGTTGGGAAATTCCTGGAGATTTCAGGGGTGGAGTCTGGGAAGGGTGGGATTTGAGGAAGGGAGGGACTCTAGCGATAATCCAACACCCAGAGCAGCCATTTCCTCCAGGGGGATTGATCTCTGTAGTCTGGATAACGGTTATAATTCCGGGGGATTTCCAGGCCCCACCTGGAGGATGGCAACCATATCACACAGGCATAGAGAGAAGGCCACTTCTCCCACGTTGCTCCTTATCGAAGCGCCAGGACACAGCTAATAACAACACTGTGAGGCCGTGCTGTGCGCCTGGCTCGGGTGACTCCCTGACGGCCTGTGGTGAATGTCGCGCTAGCCCCTCAGCAGCTGTGCACTTGCATGATGCGTGGCAGCAGCCCTGGCCCTTCTGTCGCCCCCTCCAGGTGCCCTCTGGTAAGAACACCAGATTCCTCTCGTCCATTCAGTGATGGTCAGAGGAGGTAGCAGGGGCGGATTAACCATTAAGCAGACTAAGCACGTGCTTAGGGCACCAGGGCCAAAGGGGGCACCACAAAGTTGGGGAAAAGGTAAAAAGGGGGGGGGGACCGAATGAAGATTTGTAAAAAATAAATAAATTGATAACTTGTGAAATATTAAAATAGATGTTGTATTGCATTTTTGTGGAACTTTATGTAGCCCAAGCTTGGCTTAGTTTGTACAGTATATTGCGTTATCATATGAATAAATTTTTTGTATTGCTGCAACCTGCATCGTATATCTGGTCAGACAGGTCAACAACTAAAATGGACTGGGGGTCAGTGCGGAAAGGAGGGGGGCACCAAGATGGGTCAGTGCTGAGGGCACCAGTGAGCCTTCATCCGCCCCTGGGTGGTAGCTTGTAGCCTACCTACAAGGCATTGCGCGAGCCATCACTGTGTACAACAGCCATGCATGTATGCCCTGCGGCTCACCTCCGCTCCTTCTTTCTGTTTGTCACTGCAGCTCATTGTGACCCTGGCTTCTCTGCAGCAAGTCACGGTAAGGAGAAAGAGAGACCGAGAGAGACTCCCCACTGCAAACTCGTCATCTGTTTTGCTCATTTTAGTGTAAACGAGGCGCTGGCACAAAGACGGCATATCAGTCTGACATATCAGTTTTAAAACTTTTACTTGATTAGAACGATGCCTTCATTATTGGACAGCAGATGTTTAAATAAGGTTTACATTATTTTTTAATGTCCTGATTGGGATGGCCCAGACTAGCTGGATCTCGTTAGATTCCAGAAGGTAAACCAGGTTGGCCAAGGTTAGTACTTGGAAGGGAGACTGTCAAGGAAGCCATGGCGTGAAGCGCTAGCCGGTCCTCCCTTCGGGTGCTTATCTTTGGCCGCAAGACTGAAGAGGCGTGGAGTTTTCCAGTTAGAAAGCGGAGAGTGTCTTGTGTTCATGTCGAGAGAATTCCCTTTGAATTTAGGAAGTCCTTCTGTCAGATTAATAATGATATGTGTCAAACATAGTGGTCACCAGAGGTCATTTCGGGGGGGATCGCGGGGGATCGCAGTTCCCCCGGGTGAGGTACAGGGGGCGGGCCTGCCTGGGGCCAGGGAGGGCCTTCGCGGGGCTTCCTTACACTCCCGCCGGCCTTGCAGGTCCACCGGTGGGCCCCTCATGGGGCTCGGCAGTGGAGCTGCAAGGCCGGCGGCGGAGGCCGGGACCGTTGGGGGCGGGGTGTGTGGCCTTATGACACACTTCCGGTGATGTCCAGGGGTGTGGCATATGCTAATGAGTTATGCTAATGAGTTCCCCCTAGCTCTTTTTCTACGAAATGACCCCTGGTGGTCACAGAACAAAGTTTGAGTCCAGTGGGCACCTTTAAGACCAGCAAAGGTTATCCAAGGGATGAGCTTTCGTGTGCAAGGCACACTTTTTCAAATACCCTGGAATGGGAGGCAGAGCCTGAACAGCAAATGTACATGTAACATGATGAGATGTATAAGAATGGGCTGGATGCAGCTGACAACAACGCTGAGCTCTTTCGTAGTTGTTTTCAGAGGGCCTCGCCAGCAAACTTTGAGTAGGCCTTGCCAGTGAGCTTGTTAGTGTTTCCAACGCTGCTAACCTGCAAATCCCACACTCTCAGCTTCTTACAACAGCAAACGGACGATAAAATAGGCTTGTCCTCAGCCACTTCCGAAACAAGAATATTTATCCACGGTATCTCCACGATATCTCCGCAGCACAGTTAGCCGTATTGTGGCAGTAAAATGGAGCTTGGTGAATAAGCGTCCAGGAACTCATTAGCATAATAGGCCACACCCAACAGCAGGAACTCATTAGCATATTGGGCCACACCCCTGACAGCACAGCTCATTAGCACATTAGGCCGCACCCACATGTTGCCAGAAGTGTGGTCATCCAGGCACACCCACCTTTTGCTTGTTATTCTGTTTACCTTGTTTGTTGTCAAAACCCTGAGGCTTTTTCTGTGGCAGGAACTCCTTTGGATGTTAGGCCACACACCCCTAATGTAGCCAATCCTAATGAGTTTCTGCTGTTGGGTGTGGCCTATTATGCTAATGAGTTCCTGCTGGGCGTGGCCAACTTGGGAGCCAGCCGGAACTCCGTTCCTGTGCGTTCCTGCCCAAAAATAGCCCCGAGCGTCCGTCATTGTCCGCCATCTTCCTCTGTTTTGTCTCCTGCAACAGATACCGTTTCAGTGTGATCTCCCGGAGAAGCTTTCTCTCCAGCTTTTCTCCACACCAGAATTCAGATTGCCATCCACAACTCTGGAATTCAACGAAGTGGCCTATGTCCAGGTATTGCCCGTCTCTTGCATGGGAAGACGGGTGGGGAGATGGAGATGAACGCACAGACCAGAGAGAAGAGGAAATCAGGATAGGGCGGACTGTCCACTGGAAATCTCACCCTGACCCTCCTGCCTCCGGGCATATAGTAGACACACTCTGGCAGGAATGGTCATGGCCCAATGATACATTGTGTGTTTGGCATGCAAAAGGTTTCAGGTTCAGTTCCTGGCTTCCGTAGGATCTCAGATACTAGGAGAAGACCCCTTCTGTTCCTGAGACCCCAGAGAGCCCCTCTGGAGCAATGTTCCTTCTAAGCTGTGGAGTTTTCTGAGCAAAAATTCTACTTTGTGAGCAACTGGCATTAAAGTTGTGAGCGAGCGATTTGGCTGCTGCATAAATTAGTTTGCTCTGGAGCCACCTTTCCTGAGTGAAGACAAAAATTTGTGAGCGGGCGGCTAAAAAACTATGTTAGCTCACACTAACTCAGCTTAGAGGGAACACTGCTCTGGAGTAGACCGTGTAGGGCTGTATGGCCCAATGATTGGAGTCAGTGCTTTCACACACCTGAAATAACGCACTCCCGATCCACTTTCAGTGCACGTGGCAACTAGCTTCTACTGTGTGAAATGGCAAAAACCACTTGCAAATAGTCACTAAAGTGGAGTGCAGCTGCATTATTTAGCATGTGGGAAAGCACCCGATGTCAGTTTCATCTGTTCACTGACTGTGTGGGACCTCCTAAAGATTAGTTCCTATGTAGGAAACATCCATGGCTGTGAAAGAAGATTAACGTTCTTTGGAGAGAGGGTCTCACCCCTGTCGGTTGTCCCGTAAGACCAAGCCTATTCAGAGTAATTTGATCGTAAACCCACAGCAATATTGAACACCTTTCTTCCAGATAAGGCAGAGTGAGCCTCCTTATCTGGGATGTGATTCACTAGGTGCTCTAGAAAGCTGAATTTTAAATAGATGAATGTGGAGATCAAAATGTTTGTTTCTATTCTCAGTTTCTGAATTTGCCAAATATTTATCAGGGATTCGTGGGAGGTTTCATTCCAGATAAGGTGGTTTTCACCGCCTTCTCTTTGCCCACCTCCTAAATTGTCAGCATTTGGGGCTAAGGGTGGGCAGGTCCCTACAGTGGCAGGCCAGAAGAAGGCAGGCTGAGCTGAAGGGGGTACAGTGGCAGGGCCAGGTGAAGGGAGGCAGAAGGTTTGCGAGTCGCTTTCACACCCCCTAAACGACGCACTTTCAATCCTCTTTTCACGCCCTTTGCAACCGGATTTTCTTGTGTGAAATGGCAAAACCCACTTGCGAACCGTCGCTGAAGTGGAGTGAAACCGCATTATTTCGCATGTGTGAAAGCTGCCAGTGGTCTCGTGATTTCCCAGAGCGGTTACTGGAATGTTCCATCTGGCACTGAGGTCACATACGAACACACATGCAGCTGCCTTATACTGAATCAGACCTTTGGTCCATCAAAGTTAGTATTTACTCTGACTGGCAGCGGCTGTCTAGAATCTCAGGCCGAGGTCTTTCACATCACCTACTGCCTGGCCCTTTAGCTGGAGACGCCGGGGATTGAACCTGGGACCTTCTGCATGCCAAGCAGATGCTGTACCACTGAGCCACAGCCCCCTCCCTACGAATGAGGAGGTTGGCTGAGTGCCCCTGGACTGAACCTGAGAGGAGAAGAATAGCTATGTGGCATTTAACCACCTTACCTCTCTGGCTGAGTAGTGCAGTCAAGAGCCCTTGGCCAAGAAGGCTACACCACCAGGTAAGTCTGGGTTCAACTCCTCCCTCCCTGCAACAGGCAAATACAGTCCAGTGGGAATCTTAAAGACTATCGACATTTTTTCCAGTATGAGCTTTCATGAGACAGAGCTCACTTCTTCAGATACAAGTGGTACAACATGCCGCACTTAGCTTCTTCCTCTAATGGGGGCAAGTGAGCCACCATCGGACAATGGGCTCTTCTTTTTCCTCCTGGACAGGTGTCGCTCAGGACAGCCGACCAAGACTCATCTCTGCAACTCCAAGAATGTTCCCTAAAAGCCACTGGCAGAACATCCATGCCACTGATCCGCAACGGCACCTCAGCCAGTTCCTCTGTGGAGATCTTGGAAGTTCCCGACAACTCTCCTGGCACACGGATTCATCGCTTCCGATTCGTCTATGAAGCCAAAGATGGAGGGCGGCCCAGTTTGTCCGCCACCCTTGTCTGCTGGGTGTCTCTGAACCGCCATGTGAGTTTTCACAGTTGCTTGGCCTGCGTGTCCCTTTGAGGCTGGCCAGAAGGCCATATCTTGGGGTCTGGGTGGACTGTAAGTTAAATATGAGCAGCCAGTGTGATGCAGCGGCAAAAAAGGCTGCTGCGATCTTGAGGTGTATCAACAGAGGAATACTGTGTGCAGTTCTGGAGGCCTCACTTCAAAGCGATGTGGACAGAATGGAGTGGACCAAGACAACTGCCCACGTGAATGTAAATTCAGCTATAATACTGTTCATGGCCTTGATGAATGATAATGGCATTTTTTTAAAAAACCCAAGATGTTCATCACGTTTTCCACTTTTTAAAATTCAGAATCCCAGCTCCTTTGAAAGCTCTTTGGACGTGAAGGTGAACGACCCCAACTCTCCATCGCACGGTGAGTTCTCAGCTCCTTTTACCAGTACAAATGGACCTTCTTGATATCCACTTAGAGCAAGGCTGTTGACTTTTATTTGTTACATGTCTGTTTTTTTTAAAAGCAAGAAAGATCTCTCGCTCTGTTAAACCCCTCAGTTCTTTCAAGGACTCTCCAGTTCACACGTAAGATTCACTGAGCTAAATATTTGAGTCCGCCAGAGAGGCACAGGCGTATCTGTGATGAGAAAGACTTCTGCCTGAGACCAGGGGTCATTTCGTAGAAAAAGAGGTGCAGGAGCTCATTAGCATAACTTATTTGCATATGCCGGAAGTGTGTCAGAAGGCAACGCTCACCGCTCAGGCTCCACTGGACTCTTTTGGATTGCTAGCTATTGGGGGGGAGGGAAATGTGCAGATCTGTCCTCGCAGAGGAGGGAGAGCTTGTACCTGAATAAAACTTGGTCTTAAAGGTGCCACTGGACTGTTTTGGACTGGGGGGGTCAGGGAAAGCTCTGCAACTTACCTGGCTGCTTCTTGCTCTGACTGAGGGCTGCTGGGAGCAGGGGATGGGGCTTGTTGCATGTGCCCGCCCCCTAGGCTCTTTACTGCCTTCTCACAGGGGAAGGTTTCTCTTTTGTTTTTATCCCGTCCTTCCTTGGGGCTGGCATACATGGGTCTCCCTCCTTGCATTTTGTCCTCACAAACAACCCTCCAGGATAGATTAAGGCCAAAAGAAAGCGACTGTCCCACGGTTGCCCTGTGAGCATCAAGAGAGACACACACATTAGATCTTTATTTACCTCAGAAAAGAAATATTTGTCCCCATGGAGGTGGAGGTCTCTCTGTCTTTGCTCAAAGGTCTTCCCCCCCCCTTTGATTTTAAAAATAAAAAAAACATGGCAGATTTAAAGGGAAGTCTGGGCCCTTCTGAACCAAACCCGGCTGCCCAACATCCCCTGTGTGAAAAAGAGAACCATCTGGGCTCTTTCCTTTCCAGTCATGTTGGTTGGGTCACTCGTATGGCAGGAGCCTGCCCTTGGACTCCATCCTTGACGCTTCCCTCCAAGAAGCTGTCAGCCTCTTTTATCAAATTCCCGGCATTTCCTTCCGGCCCCCGTCTCCTCCAGGCCCCAGCTCCTCGGCATTTCCTTCCAGCCCCCGTCTCCTCCAGTCCCCAACTCCTCTCTTAGGTCGTGTTTCCTTTCATTCTGCCCCACCCACCCCCAAATGATGGCCTTCTGCCACAGCCACAGCAGTGGGGTGGTTGCATCTCCATGGCGACGGCTTGGGGGAGCCGAGGCCTAGGCCTGACCTGCAGGAAGCTGTGCACCATGACCCCTCTTAGCCCGAGCCTGGGATGCTGAAGCGGGGAGTAAGACGGAGGGGGCGGGGAAGAGGACAGAGGCATGCAGATAAAGGAAGTGGAGCTAGAATAGGAGCTGGAGCCAGTGTAAACAGCCTTGGCATGATAGTAGATTGCGGGGGACAGTAATGTTTTTGACACAAGACAGGACCAGACAAAGTACATCCTCTCCCCCTTCCTGTCCTTGACATACAAGTGTTGACTCCTGGCTGTCTGAAACACCACAGGCCCCCTCAGTACAATTCAAAGTTCTGATCCCAAAAGCCTGTTGCATTTCAGGCCACTGATAAAGACGGACAAGTGATACAGGGAGAGGAAGAAGGAGCAGGATATCAGGATGCAGGAGGGACAAGGAATTGCCTCACTCAGAGACAGGCCAACCATCTCTCTCTGCCTGGCGATAGTTCCCCCATTGCCTCCCTGGATAGAGGCCTGCTGTGTGAGGGGGAGAAGGGACACGGCAAGGGTGGTCAGAGTTTTTATTAAAATATGGATACCCGAAAACAAGGGTCTGTGGCTGAGTGGTAGAAGATCAGCTGTGCAGGCAGAAGGCCTCAGGTCCAATCCCTTATCTGTGGTCAAAGGGGGGAAGACCTTTGAGCAGGCAGAAGGCCTCAGGTCCAGTCCAGTCATGCCGACCACATGATCACAGAAATGTCTTTGGACAGCGCTGGCTCTTCGGCTTGGAAACGGAGATGAGCTTTCGGATTCGACTGGCTTTTGAGCAAGGGAAACCTTTACCTTTACTATAACAGTTTGGTGTCGTGGTTAAGTGCGCGGACTCTAATCTGGGAGAACCGGGTTTGATTCCCCCACTCCTCCACTTGCACCTGGCTGGATGACCTTGGGCAAGCCATAGTTCTGATAAGAGCTGTAGCAGTTTCTATCAGAGCTCTCTCAGCCCCACCTACCTCACAGGGTGTCTGTTGTGGGGAGGGGAAGGGAAAGGAGTTTGTAAGCCGCTCTGAGACACCTTAGGGTAGTGAAGGGCGGGGTATAAATCCAATCTCTTCTTCTACTTCTTCTCTCTTAACAAGAGATACTGGGGATTGGACCTGAGACCTTCTGCCTTCATGGTATCTCCAGGTAACAGCGTGGTGTCGTGGTTAAGAGCGATGGACTCTAATCTGAAGAACTGGGTTTGATCCCTCACCCCTCCACATGAAGCCAGCTGGGTGACTTTGGGTCAGTCACAGCTTTTCAGAACTCCAGGCTGCCAGACAATCTTAGGATCTCCTGGCTACACTACAAACAATGCCATATTCCAGTTAATAGGTAGTAGGTAACGGGAAGGAGCTCTGCCTGAGACCCTGGAGAGCCACTGCCAGTCGGAACAGACCAAAGGGCTGACTTGGCATAAGGCACCTTCACATGTTAAATGGTCAAGTGTCTTATGCGAATCACGTTAGAGAGCCAGCATGGCACAGTGGTTAGAGTGTTGGCCTGGGATCTGGGAGACCCAGGTTTGAATCCCCACTTCTGCCATGGAAGCTGGCTGGGTGACCTGGGGCCAGTCCCACGGTCTCAGACTAGACTACCTCACAGGGTCGTTTTATGGATAAAATAGAGGAAAGGAGAACAACGCGAGCCACTTTGAGTCCCTATTGGAGAGAAAGGGAGGGTATAAATAAAGTAGATTTTAAAAATCACACAAGTTGCCTTCTACTGAGTCAAATTGCAATAAAATAAAACCACTGCTTCCTGGGACTTCCAAAGCAAAGTGCCAGGGGGTCTGCCAATCATCTCAGCGCTTTGCATTCATTGGCCCGAAAGCTGGAAGGTGGGAGCAGCTTTTCTTCCCGTGGGTCAGGAACTGGCCTGCCTGTTTAGCCTTCCATCTTGTTTCCCCCCCCCTCTCTTTAATGACATTGACAATACAGGGAGGGGGCTCAAAATATCTCTGACGCACCTAGATCCCCCCCCCAAACTTCTTCCCTTGGTCTCACACACGATCCCTTGTTCTAGCAACGGATTTATAGTACCCAAAATAGACGGGTGGTTAAACTTCCTCTTGTTGCTCATTCTGCGGACTGGCCCTAGCTGTTCCTGCCATAAATTCTCCCGGTAGCTTCTCCCTCCGCCCGCTTCTGTCGGTAGCAGGAGCAGCCTTTTGCCGCGGCTGTTTCTGTAGCCTCCCAGAGGTCATGCGTGCCGAGCAGTGCTATGGACAGGCCCAAGCGTGGCTGCGGCCTTCTGCCCAGGCACCGCTGGCTTCTGCCCAGGATGGATGGCTTCCGGCCTCCCTCCTACCTTGCTCTCCTCCTTCCTGCCTCTGTTTTGCACGGCTCCCTCCGGACGGCAAAATAACAAAGCAAGGAAAGACTTTTGACACAAGACCAGCCCCGGTGGGGATTCACCCAGCACATCAGACACGTCTGCGGGGCAGCCGCGGCCAAACGAAGAGCCATGCGCCTTTCCTTTTTCACACTAGCTGTGAGAGAGGGGCTGGAAATGTGTGAATTCGGTAACCCCCCAGGAGCAGCCGTAACAGTTGATATTGCAGCTTTTCAGTCCGGTTTGGTGTAGCGGTAAAGAGCAGTGGGCTCTGATCTGGAAAACCAGGTGAGATTCTCCACTCCTCCACATGCAACTGCTGGTGTGACCTTGGGTCAGTCACAAGTCCTCTTGGAGCAAAGATCTGTTCTCTGCTAAAGGCAAGAAAAGATCAAACAGGCTTAAGGGTTACAGAAGCACCAATGCCAGTTGAACATTGGGAAAAACTTCCTAACAGTGAGAGCACTTCCACAACTGGAACAAAATCAGGGGGCTATACTCTCCCACGCTGGAGATTTTCCAGCACAGGCGGGCCAGTCATCTGTTAGGGATGCTCTAGAGCCAGTTTGATTCCCCACTCCTCCACATGCAGCTGACATGGTTCACATCACTGATGGACACCTAATGTACTTCATGTGCGAGGGCAGGACTTAGGAACTGGTGCCAAGAGCCAGTGTGGTGTAATGGTTAGAATGTCAGACCAGGTGTGAATCCCCACTCCGCTGTGGAAGCTTGTCGGGAGACCTTGGGCCAGTCACAGACCTAACCTACTTCACAGGGTTGTTGTGAGGATAAAATGGGGGAGAGGAGAACAAAATGGATCTAAAAACTGCCTGTTTTGCTAAGGTCACTCAGAAGTAGGTTCATTGAAACCAGTGACCATCATAGATAAGGGTTGAGCCGTGTCAGTCCATTTGCAACGGGTGACCATAACAGATAAGGGGTAAACTGTTCCGGTCCGTTTGCGCCAAGAAGAACCTGGAGTCTTGGGGCACCTTAAACAAGTTTTTATTCTAGGCCTCTCTAACCGTTCGTGGATTATAGTCCACCGCATTGGACAGAGTGGGCTCTAATCCACAAAAGTTTACCCCAGAATAAAAAACTGTAGATCATTAAGGTATCCCAAAACTTTAGTTTTGTTTTACTGGTGCCAGTAGTTCGTCATCATTAGTACTAACAATATTAGAAATATTATTGTAAATCTAACACGAATATAAGCCATATGTTGCCACCTTCCAGGCTTACCAGGGATACTCCATGTTTTCTGATTCCTGTCCCTGTTTCGTTCCTTTCTGGGTACCATATTAAATTGTTGCAAGTTTGAGTTGCAGCCTGACCTGCATGGCCCAGTCTGGCCGCATCTCGGCAGATTTCGGCTGCTAAGCAGGGTCAGCCCTAGTCAGTATTTGGATGGGAGACCACCCAGGAATTCCAGGGTAGTTACACTGGGGTTCCGTTCAGACGAGCAGCTAATCCCGCCATTAGCCTGGCTCTAATTTGATCCTGATCTTTTAAATCCGTCGTTGCACGACCAGACAGGCCCCCCCCAGTGAATCGTCCTACCGCGCGCTGCCTCCGCCGTGGATTGTCTAGACGGTGTCCACTGAATGAGGTGTGCGCAGTGGCTTTTTTTAAAAAAACAAAAGTTTGCGCATGCGCATAGGTGTGATTTTGCAGCCTTGTTTATCCGTGCATGCACAGAATCAAGATTTTTTTTAAATGGTGCCCGTTCGGGATGGTCTGACGTCAGACCATCCCGAACGGGCGCCATTTTTTAGACGGGGAAAGTCCACGATTGGCTCCGCCGGGACCGAAAACTCCAGATTTTAACTAGTACCTTTTTAGCACGGCTCCGAAGCGCGGCAAAACGGGATGCTCACGGAAGACAGACGTTTCCCAGATGTTGATGTCTGGACATTCCATTTAAATCCACGAGGCCCTCGTGCCTCGCGTGGATCTAAAGAGCCGTCTGATTGGACTCAGAGGCAGGCAATGACAAGCCACCACTGTTCATCTCCTCCTTGAAAACCCTGCCGAGTTGCCATAAGTCAGCTGTGACTTGACGGCACTTTATGCCCGATCTGAGTTGCGAGTAGATCAAGACAGGTCTGTCTGCAGCAGCACCTTAAAAACTAACAAAACCCGCGTCAGGGGAAGAGCCTTTGTGAGTCACTGCTCACTTCTTCAGATACCTGAGATTGCCTACATGTCCAGAAGTTGAATCTCAGAGAATCATGGGGTAAATCAGGGCTTTTTTTGTACAAAAAGCCTAGCAGGAACTCATTAGCATAATAGGCCACACCCAACAGAAGAAATTCATTAGCATGTTAGGCCACATCCCTGACAGTGCAGCTCATTGCAATGCAATGAGGAAGGGGTTGTCCACCTTTTGGGGTTGTCATGGCAATTGTTGGGGGATAGGTTAGGTCTGGGAATCATCCTCTGCAGTAAGATGATCTCCAGGG